TTTTTTTTAAAGTCAGTATTATATATATTTATATATATTATATATATATTTATATATACACACACCCACTGAGTTCTGCATATCCCACCAGGAAGGAAAATAGCTCTCCCTTTTGTTTTTTGTTTTTTTTTCGTTTTCTATTTTCTTTTTTTTTTTTTTTCAGTGTAAACTGTACATCCCAGATGAAGAGAAGACGGCTGCAGCAGGGGCAAGTGGAGGAGAGGAAGGTTCACATCCAGAAAAAATAAAACAAACAAACAAACAAAAGACCCCAAAAACAGAAAAAAAAAAAACAACCAATAAAATAAAAATAAAAAAAGATAATGTGTGAAATGATCCTTGACCCACAAATTTCAGCAGAAGTCCCCAGGTCCTGCGTTTAGTCCACGGCGCATGTTAATGTGTGTCAAGACATCCAGAACGTCACAGCGTGTCTCCAACTGTGCAAAGGTCCGAGTCACTAATTTAGTGCAAAGGCAGTTCAGGTTCTTTTTTATTTTTTTCCTTTTTTTTTTGTTAAAAAAAATAAGCCATCCTTTCTCTTTTCCCCAAAAGGAGGCACAGAAACCCAATACCAGTCCGCCTGCTGAGTGCATCAGTTGTCCGTAAGCTAAAGCAATATGTAAACATACAGGGTAGCGGGAGCGCTACCCAGCGACAGTTTGATCGAGGCCGGTTAGGGCAGGAGGCTGGTAGTCTGGCAGCATTCTCTTGTTTCATTCCTTTCTCTCTCTCTTTTTGTTTATTTTTATTTTAATTTTTTCTTTTTTGGTGGTTTTTGTGGGCTTTTTTTTTTTTTTTTTTTTTTTTTTTTTTGCTGCAGGGCCTTGGAAAAAAACAAAAAAATAAAGTCAGTAACCGGTAAACAGCTCATACCGACGCGATGACAATCATCAGGTGAGGAGAGATGTTGGAGATGCTGGCGAGGAGGTCCGGGGCTAGGCGGGACAGGTGGCTTTCCGAAAATTCGCAGGGTGGGAAGATCTGCAGAACGTAGGCAGGCTGCGAGGGAGAAAAGAAACACGGATGAGAGACAAAGCGGGGCGAGGGCTGGCCTCAGATGTTTTAAAATGGGACATTCAGATGATTTTTGGGGTGCTTAAAGGCTCATAAATGGGCACGCTTGTATAAAAAAGGCGAGACTGTTCCAAGGTGGGGAGTTTTTCTACACCAGGGATGTAAGAGCTGGCTGGTTTTATAGCAAAAGACAAAAAAAAAATCCCATTAATTATCATTTCAGTGGTCGCTCGGAGCACCGACTGCTCATTCTGGGCCGTTTCCACCCAGGGAACAGATTAAATTTGCTTCGATGCAGCAACGCATCTGGAATAAAGGCTCCTCATCGCCAAACCCAAGTTTTGTCTTTATGCGGCAAAGAGCAAGAAAACTCCGAGTGTCCTGGAAAAATCAGGCTATGATGTGAGGAAGAGACAAGGACTCTACTTCCAATGCAGGAAAAGAGGTGGAAAATGGGTTTGGTTTGTTTTCAACCGAAGATGTAGGGCTGTGAACAAACTGAACATACATTTGGGTTTTTTTTTTTTTTGGCTTTGCAGTTCATCTTCAGTAATTATATCAATTACGTCGGTGCGTTTTGATTGGCGATGTAACAAGCCGGCACGGTGAACGCGGGGGGTTCGTTTCAACGATAAAACCAGGCACCTCAACTACAATCTTAAGCGAAGACCCGGGGCGGAAGGCGGTAGGTCCCATTATCTATCGATTTAGTTTATCTACGGTGTTTCACCCTGCCAATACCTGATTAGAGCCGGGGTTGGGAACGTTGATGATTCCTGCGGCTTGCTTAGCCTGCAGGTAGCTGATGAACGCAGCCTTAAGTGACTCAGTCTGATTCACTACGTCTTCCTGGTCTCGGCCACAAGGCAAGGCCAGTAATAGGCAGTAATCGCTCTCCACCTGGAAAGAAAATAACAGTAATTAAGTCAAATGTTTGCTGGGAACAGGCCCGTTCCTGACAGACGTTCATTATCCGCAGCGGCAAATCCTCTCTTTGAACCCCTTCGAAGTTACAGAAGATGTGCTGAAAGCTCGGCCAGCCTAGGCGGTGAGAAGGACTGAGAACTACTCATTTCTACGGCCGCCTGAATTCCACCTTCCCCTTACTCAGACGTGTCAGAGCCAGCAGCAGGAATCTGTTCCAGGGCCGAGGGACGGGTGACTTCAAAGGTTTCCCAACTCGGCTGTTCCCTTTTCTATGAATGCAGAGTAATACCTATGGCTCACGACTTGCAATCTGTATTTCACGCTCTTTGGGACGAAGGAATCGCACAGCTATTACCAGAATCCCAAAATAACGCGACACGAGCAACGAGAGCTGAAGTTTCTGGGAGAAGCGGTGGTTTTTTTGTTACACGGCTGGTAGGACCAGCCCAGCTGTTAATAATAGATATTAGGCTCTTCCCAAACACGCATCCTCCCCCCGTCCCCACCCCTCACCATCATCCTGCGCGCGACGCCCTCCAGCTGCGAAGCCTCCAGTCGCATGCGCTGAGCGATTCTCAGCGGCGGTCCTCCCTCCGGCGCTGGCAGGGACCGGTGCGCCAAGACGTTATTACCGGAGACAAAGTGGAGCTGAACAGCGGCCGTGTCGTTTTTTAGAGCCAAAAGGCCCTGCCAGACAATCGGGTATTTCTGGAAAGAGAGGGGAAAGAAATATTGAACGTAAATGAAGGAGAGGGGGATCTTAAATCCCGACTGAGCGGCTCGTTTGCCTCCGATACTTTCACAGGCGATTAAGACACCACCGCTTTGCTTTAAGGACTCGGTACAGATGTAACATCTTATTACTCCTCGTACGGGCTTGCGTTAGGTCCTGCTAAATCAGTAATTCAGTCCTTTTTCTTCCAGCTGGCTAAGACGCTTGGGTGGCTCCCTTCATCGTAACATCAGAGCACTTCCCAATCTTTCAGCCTCCCACACAGCGCGAGGCAGAGCGGGGCTGTTACCAAACGCTATTTTCTCCTTTACGAACGGGAGAATTGAGAAACAGCAGCAGCAGGAGAGTTGCTCAAGGTTATACGGGAAATACTCGGCGCTGAACGCAACTCCAAGTTCCTCGTCGGTGCCTGTTCCTCGCTATCTCCCTCCTCCTCAGTCTCCAGGCTTTATTTTCTTTAAATTAAATACACCATCAC